TCAAACTTGTTGAAGTCAATGAAAGGATTGCATTCATTCGGTGGAGCTTTCATTGGCTTTTAATTTTTTTTTTTACTTACTGCAGGACGTAGAGCTTGGACTTGGCCTGAGGTCCCCCCACCTGTGGCTGGCCGCCAGTGCTGACCGACGGGTCAGTGTGTGGTCATCGGATTGGCCCAAGGACCTGTGTGAGATGGTGGACTGGCTGAGCTTTCCGGCTCCGGCGTTTGCCCCAGACGGAACGGTCATTAGAAAGGGGGATATCGTAAGTACATGTAGCTACTTAAACCATCACTAGATAAATGCATGGTTTGGCGATTCTTACAGTCCAGCGCTGTCACACCAAACATTTGGGTACACCGAACATTCCCTTGGCTCCAAAATCTCCATACACACGGAACTTTTACTGGACAAACGCTTGATTTTCACTTAGCAGTACAATTTCCAGCGACAACAACCCGAATGTTGAAATATGGAAGGAAAATAACACAGGTCTACATTCAACAAAGTGCAATTCCAATGTATTTATGACCCACCATCCCAAAACCAGGCTGAAGTCGGTATTTGTGATGTTGGACAATTTTTCTCCTTCAGCTTTTTTTCACTTTTAAAGTGATCCACGTAAATCCAAATTCCGTCAGCAGTGAGCTTCATACGGGTAGTGATAGCTGTAGAACCCCCGTAAAAATCTGAACAGTTGAAGTTCCACTATTTTGGGGTTATGAAGTTACCTACTTCAGCCTGGTTTTGGTATGGTGGGTCCCATTTTAATGTGGGTTTTGATGTGTAAGTTGGAAGTATTCTGTTTGCTGTAGCAGCGTTTTACTGTAGTTCAGTTGAAACTTGACAGGAGTTCACGGATATCGATGCTGTGTGCACTTGTAAAGTCTCACCAGGCAAAGTATGTTGAAGTTACGGTCAGCCAATGTGTTGTTGCTGTTCCCTCTCTGACAGGCTCAGTATCAGCTTCTACCCCCTAGCCTGGCCCGTTTCTCCCCTACCGATCATGATATCATCATCTACACTGGCTATGGTATGCAGAAACAGGTCCAGTTCTACAGCATTGCTCAGAAAAAGGTGAAAAGCCTCGTTCCTTTAAACTTGCGAGAAATAAAAAAAGACAATGCGATTTACTTTTCCCCCTAATTTTTCAATTTGGAAAACATGGATTTTACACGTTAAGTTTTGTTATGCCGTAATATTGCACATGTCTTGAAAAAAAGACTTCATTTAAATTTTATATGAAGCAGAGAACTGTAGAACTTAATAAACAAACTGTTATTATTGTGTAGGTATTGGTAATTGTCATTTCATGAATCAAACTGCAAAGCAAGAAGACTTACTAATAACTAGTTTTAGCTCGTTAGTGGTCACGGCATGTAAAATACCTCTATCAATATATTGAAGTAAAACTTTTTTCCTGTGACTTGGTTGATAGGTTGTGCGTACCACAGCACTCACCCACTGGGCAAGCACGCTGGATGTGAGTCCAGGAGGCCATCTAATAGCAGTAGGCACAGCTGGTAAGTATCCGCTAAGAATCTCCTGCGGCAGGTTGTGAAGGAATTGATGGGATTAAGATACAGTCCAGGAAATGCAAGGACTGTATCTGAAGCTTGATTCTCCTTGACAAGGACAAATTAGGAATTTTCCCCATGTTTTTAGCATGGCTGTGGCTTTCTCAAGTTTCTGGAGATTTCTGGAGATTCTACAGAAAAATGCGGAGGTGTTAAGGGTACCCGCAGAGTGGCAGTTGCTTGAGCCAAAAATAGGCTTTACTGTAAAAAGAAATCACTGAGTGTGAGGCGCTTAATCGGGTGACATCCT